GTCAGTCGCCCTTTGCCTTGGTAAGTCTAAGGCCTTTCCATCAGATGGGGTGAATATGGAGCTTTGTTCCCTTCACCTGTTTCTTTGTCTCTTAAGGCATAACCTGTTCTTTCTCTTTTCTTGGCCTTCAGCCCAAGGTTGGCCATGAGTCCTCTTTTACCGAGGAAAGTCCTCTTTTGAAAGAATGCCAGAGCTATACCCCTTATATGAAAATGCCCTATGTTTGAAGGACTGTTCAGTCCAATTCTGCTATCATAAAGTGTCATAAAAATGGGGTCCTTCAGTAGTTAACATCTGGACAGTGGACACAACAAGCAGGCATACAGATCATGTGAACACAGTTTTCCGAAGTGTGGTGAACTGTAAATTTGCATCTATAATCTTTATTTATTTATATACTGCCCAAGGCAAAAGCATTCTGGGTTGTTTGCAACAGTTCATTAGTATATGCAAATTCAAATATTATGCAGACCACGGTCCTCTTTGTTGGTGTTTCGTAAATGGCCACCCTACCTTGGGGTCAACCCTCCAGTGACTAAGGTGGGAGGAGGATCTAAGATTAGCATTATCTGAACACTGGTTCCTCTGTGAAGCCACAGACTGTCAATCCTACAGTAAGTAAAAGCAGGAATAGTCCACCAATTCTTTACAAGGCTCACCTGCAATGCATCCTGGCCACCCCGGTGTGGCACTTCCATTTCAACAGAGATGGCACTGCACTCTGGCAGCAAAAATCAATTCATCACCAACATCTCTTGGCATAAACAGCCAGTGCTCAAGACAAGATTCAGGAGCCAACACTCAAAACAATCCGGCTGTTTCCAGTGACCATGTTTAATGTGTGCTAATAGCTGAAGCAAGCACTGGAGTGGGCAGTTGCAGTTCAACATCACTACTTCACAAAGGATAAAATTCTTCTTTAGGGCAGGCTTAAGGCCTCAAATCTTCCAGCTTAGCCATTTATACATACAACACTTGAACTCGGCATTTACTACATTCAGTGTACTGATTCTGCATGTTATGTCTCAGAAAGCATCCTGTGCATATTTAGGCAGAGAGAAGTCTGGATCTCCAGCATGTGGTTTTTTATCTAAATATGCATAGGCTTTTGCCTTAATATACGTAACACCCATCCTTACACTGGAAAGATTTCTCTAGAAAGGTATGCGGTTACTTTTCTACAGCATACCTTTAGATCTCTTTGGCATTGTAATTGGGGTGAGGATAACATTTCTGCTGTCCTTGCCATCAGTTCCTCATACTGTGACTTCCCCCATGGACTCCTGTCATTTTACCGACAGAGTGGCTGGTAAAATTTCTTCCTATTTTTATGAGTGTTTCCTGGGATCTTTCCCTTTGCACACTTGCTTCTTGCCACTACCCCCAAGATAAGCTTTTCAGTCGGAGTTGAGAGGTTGTACACAGCAAGAGAACACATTTTTACCTTTAATACACTTGTAACCTCTATCAATTATTGATTAACGCTTAATGAAATATTTATAGAAAGGTACGTCGCTGCAAAGCAATTTGCCATCTTGGCTGTTGTTATGATACTTTACATATTAAGTGAAGCAAATGTCAAGCAAACAGAGCTGGGCAGCCTATGCATCCACTGAAAACAATAGTAAGAATAGAAATGGCCCAGCTGAAGGCACATATATAGCTCACTTTCTTCACTTGGCTTGTTGGCACAGCACACAGCTTATAAGAAAATTTAGACCGCCATTCTATGCCCACCTAACCCAATGTGACATGATTCTGAGTAGGTACGCACAGGATTGCATTAAAAGTGCCCCAAAGCACAGATTCATCGATGAATATGGTTAAATGGGATGTGGATACATGTCCCAGCATGGGAGATACAGCAAATCAGTTCCTTGCTAGGCAGACAATCTGTATCTTATTTTTTGGATTAGTCATGATGTTCTTTAATTAATAGATCATGGCTACTGCTCTCCTGTCCCATGATAAGGGACCAGCTGCCATGTTTTGTACTGTTTGTGTTTTTCAAGGGGAATCAGCACAAGGTAGCAAGCATAATACTCTCCACTAAGAAATGTTCTCAATAATGACTGAACAACCCATGCTGCAGACTGGTTCAGCTGGTGCTCCAGAGCACACACTGCCAAGTGGTTAATCTAGTCTTGAATGGAAGAGCAGGGTTCACATTGTTGAATTTATTATGGCATCTAGAGTGAAATTAATTTGGCACATCATGGTTGAAAACTGGAGCTGAATAGAAACGGTTTTATTGTTGTTATTAGCATTGAAAAGCACATCCATTTTTAAGTGTGATTTCAGCTGCTCCCTAAAATTCAATCTATTGCTGTATAATGTGGCTGATTTTTTAAACTCTAAGTAGCCTTCTCCAACCTGGTCTCCTCCAGATGTGCTGGACTGGAACTCCCAGTCTTTCTCATCTAGCAGCTGTCAGGGGAAGGAAGTCAAGACAATCAGAACACTGATGCAAGGAGGACCAAGTTTGAATCATTTCCCTCTGCCTGGTTTTCCTGGTTTGAATTGCCTCCTTGAAGCTTTTATCTTATCTGTGGGAGTTGGGAGAAACTGTACAGGAGCTTATATAGATATGCTTCCCATCTGAAGAGGCACTGAAGCTATGCACCATGACCCCAAGATTAATTTCTTCTGTGGCTACCTGCTCAGAATCTACTGAGATACTATGGTTTGAGGTTTTCCCTCCCCATGTATTTCTTTTTACATTTACAGATCTGCTAAACTACATTTGCCATTTTATTTCCTATTCACCCAGGTTGGAGAGATCCTTTTAGGGCTGTTCACAATCTGCTTGGGTTTTCACAATCCTGAATAATTTGGTGTCATCATCAAAGTTTGGACAGTTCACTGTTCACTGAAATCCAGATGATTTATGTGCAAGTTAGAAAGCACCAGTCCCTGAGGAACCCCACTTCTGATATCTCCACTGAAGAATTGTCCATATCCTTCTATTCACATACTTAAAGACATTCTTGAAAAACCCTACAAGGTTATACTGTAGTTTCACATGCCTTTATCTCAGCTGTTGGCTGTTTCTGTGTGCTGAGGCTTGCTTTGCAATCAGGCATCGTGTCCTCAGTGTTCTTCCACAGGAGTATTGTAAAATTCTATACTGCCCTGTATCTGTTAGGGGCATCCAAGGTCACTATGGATATATAGATATATAGACCTTCCAGGAAAAGTTTTTAAATGATAGTGAATTCATTAGAATGCATCAGAAGAGACAGATAAAGTTAAATTGCCTCTATTTCAGTGTTCACATTTACAGTTGCAAACCCTGTACATATAACCAACCATTTGGTTTTTTAAAATAAATCAGCTGAACTGTAATTTTTGCTACCATAATTTTTGAACAATAGAAGGATATGAAGACAATCAGTGGATACAATAATGATTTCAGTTGCATTCTTAAGGCCAGCATAAGTCTAAAGCTGTCTAGATAATTGCCATGCGAAGCCAACTCCAGGCCTTTTTTCTAGAGTAAACCATACCTTATTTGTCCCAAATCATATTTCATCACCAAAGAAATGTGAAGAAAGATGCATTTTAACTCATGCCGCTCTTCTCCTCCATTTCTTAGTCTTCAGCCGTATGCAAAATCTACTGTAATACACTAATTTTTATTAACAGAGCTCTCAAAATATCACCAGGAGTTACAGAAGATTCTCTGTGTTCACAGGCAATAAACAAAACTGGCACAGCTGTAGCGCTATGTCCCAAAGAGGAAGCAACTGTTTTGTTGAACTGGGATTATAAATTCATCCTCAACATGGACACAGGGAAGAATACAATATTGACATGCCCAACATTTATCAACACTTCCTGTTAAGTTCTACAGCTCCAAGGCAGCTGTTTCTTGAAGCAGTCTTTGAACACAGATGTTAAGCAGAGAACATACGGCAGCTACTCAAGGAAAGGAGGGGGAGAGAGTCCCTTGTTACTGCAGACATTTTTAGAGTCCACTGAAAATGCGTTCAGTCAGCACTATGCACCACCAGGTGTGTGTAATACAGGCACTTCTCTTGAAACATTCACGTATCCAAGCAATAGACACAAGCCAATAATACAACCATACAAACCATACAGTACAAACAATAATAGATGAATCTATTGTTTTTAGTACCTCACTGCCAGATATGTTTTGCTTCTAATAAGCAGGGCTAAACTTATTAGGAAGCATGTGCTTCTTTCAGTGCCCTTAGGACTTTTGGACTGGACAGAAGCAAGTACTCTTTACATCTTGTAGGGAGTAAGAGATTGATTTGGTCACTTTTTTTGCCTCCCTTTCACTATGTAACCAGTGAACGATGGATTCAGAGATGACAGAGCGGATCACTTGAGGATGTCATAAAGCAAGCAGCAGGGGCGCTTGCCTTCTGCTGCACTGAAGTTCTCTGGATCAGTGCATTTACTTTAAAATTGTTATTCATTTGCTAAATATTAGTAGGAAAGTCTGAACAATATGTAGGAAAGATTGGGTTCAGAGAGGCCATTTCTGACAAGAGGGCCTTTTTTTTCTGTGTGCAGCCAAGCACATGCGCCAGTTCTCTTTCGATATTGTTTTCTACTAAATAGGGCCACTGTTGGCAGATTTTGTTGTCAGTGAAAATACAGGACACAGCCTCATTGCCTTGGGAAATGGCTTTCAGCAATAAGCACCACCTTGGAAAGAGTTAGAAAAATCATAGAATAGTCTGCATATAAGCATTTTCGGGAAGCAGAAGGGAAATGTTAAGGAATGGGGGTGATTGTATTACCATATCCATATTCTGTGTTTTATAAATGCATTGTCCTGTTTTAAACTAAATAGGATCATGGCGATTGAAAGTGGACTTTCAGTGCTGAGTATGAGAAAGAATTTAAATCCATGCTCCTCTTAGTTCTCATATCTTTAAAAATAAATAAGGATCTAAATACCTGAGTTATCTGAACATACGAGCAAACTGAAGCTTAGTCTGTGATTCTTTTTTCTCTTCTTTTGACAGGAGACAGATCTTATTCTCACCTTCAATATCTCAATGCACCGTTCTTGGTGGATGGAGAATGGGCCAGGCTGCACAGTGATATCCGTGACCCCAGCCCCGGACTGGGCACCGGAAGACCATCGCTACATCACTGTCTCAGGGTGTGTTCTTGACTACCAATATATCGAAGTGGCGCACAGTTCTCTGCAGATCTTTCTTGCAGTAAGTGTTCATTCGCCTGCTCTTCTGCACTTCTGGGTGCAGTATATAACAGACTTCATTGTAACACATGTGTGCATGCACACACGCACAAATATGTTTTAAACCTATGCTTTCTTTATGGATAACAATTTTTTATCTGTACCATAAAATTATCATTAAAGGGTAGACATTAGAGCCACGTTCTGCAGAATAACTGCTTGCTGCATGTTTGGAATGTAAGCATGGGGATATTAGGTCTATACCACATGCAACATTGATGTGCAAATATTCATGCTTCAGATCCTATTGCTAAGCAAGCTGAAAGCATCCCTACAGCCATCTGTTGAGCAGCAATACTCCTCCCCTAGTTCTGCAGTCTGCACATGCATAACAGGGCAATGCACTAAGTATTTTCTCAGGCACCCCTGTGCGTTCAGTGCTTCTTATTCTCTGGTGTGTGTGTGTAGCAGGGATGGTGAACTCTTTCAGCCTGAGGGCCAAATTCCATTTCAGAGAAGTTCACAGGGCCCAGGTTTGGGGCAGGGTGCATGTGTGGGGGTGGTGGGAGGCTGAGGGTAAAAAGGATAAAAGCCAGCATAATTTAGCTTCAGATTCTGACTGCCAGTAATTAAGCTTCGGAGAGGCATCTCAGCCTTTTATCAGGAGAGTATGGGCCAGCTTAAGAAAAGCTGTGAAACCACCAAGGAGCAGGTATGTGGAGGGAAAAGAATTAACAGGATTTTTTTCTTCTTAATGTGAAGCAAGAGCTCCATTGTAGAATTGAAGGAATTACCATCTCTAAGAAGCAAACAGACCTTAAACACTGCTGTTGCATATGTTCTCTCAAGATTATAGGAACTGAGGAAAGCACAAGTACACACAATGAGTATTCTTACAGTCTATCTAGAACAGAGATCAGTTAAGCTGAAAGTCTGTGACTGGTCCAAAACCACCCATTTACCTAGGTCCCCAGCCTGATTAACTCTCCATAATCAATTGCCTGAGGTGACTGATCCAACATAATGGCAGCACTGATCCTATTTCTAACAATGATTAGAATCACTATTATTAATTTATTTATTTAAAACTTTTATATGCCGTCCCCTCATGCCTCAGCATCTCGGGACAGCTTATTAGGTGCTGTGAAATCTATCTAGTAAATCATTCCATGCATCAAAGCAATTAACATGTTTTTAAAGGTACTCCACTGTGTTAAGCAAACTTGTGCATTTCCTTTCACAAAATAAGAGTCAGCATTTTATAGTAAAGAAAGTTTGGGGGAAACAGGGAAACATGCTGGAATATGATAAGCATATGACTTCATATATTTGGAGATTTGTTTTTTCCCAAAAGCCCTCTCCCAAGCACCAAATCTTGAGGGAAATATGCTTTTCTCTGTATATTCCTGTATATTCTTGTCAACCGCCCCCTAGGCCCATTGGTGCTGTTGCTTAATGCCAGGTTGGTCCACAATAAATCATCCCTCATCCATGACTTGATTGTGGATGAGGGGGCCGAACTGGCTTGCATTACAGAGGCCTGGGTGGGAGAGAGGGGGATGTCTCCCTCTCTCAACTGTGCCCGCCCGGGTATCTGATCCAGCACCGACCATGCCTGGAGGGGAGGGGAGGGGGGTCTAGAGTGCCTCTACTTGGTGTTGGGTGACCGAGACAGACTGGGGATTCTTTTGGTGTACCATGCACCCTTCTGCCCAACAGATTCCCTGCCTGAGCTGACGGAGATCATCTCGGATTTGGTGTTGAAGACTCCCAGGATGTTGGTCCTGGGGGACTTCAATCTCCACGCTGAGACGGTTCTGACCGGGGCGGCTCACGACTTCATGGCCTCCATGACGACCATGGGGCTGTCTCAACATGTCATAGGCCCGACCCATGAATGTGGACACACTCTGGACCTGGTTTTCTCGATGGGGCAGGAAAAGGATGATCTGAGGGTGAGGAACTTGTGTCTGACACTCCTGTCATGGTCAGATCACTTCCTCATGAGGTTTGAGCTCAAGAGCGGCCTTTCCCTCTGTAAGGATGTGGACCCAATTGTGTTGGTCCGCCCCCGGAGCCGGATGGATCCAGATGGATTCCTGAAGGTCCTGGGGAATTTCCCGGTTGATAAGGCTGGTGCTCCTGTCGATGCCTTGGTTGAACTATGGAATGGGGAAATGACCAGGGCTATTGACATGATCGCTCCTAAGCGTCCTCTCCCACCTGGCAGAGCCCATTCATCCCCTTGGTATACACCTGAACTATGGGTGATGAAGCGGGTTGGAAGACGTCTAGAGCGCAGGTGGAGGAAATCATGGGATGAATCTGACCGAACACACAAGAGCCCATTATTGGGCCTATGCTGTGGCAGTGAGGGCGGCGAAGAAGAAATTCTTCTCCGCTTCCATTGCCTCCTCACAATGCCGTCCAGCGGAGCTCTTTCGGGTGGTACAGGGGCTGGTTCACCCAGGCCCCAAGAAAGATCTCGTGCCACCCTGAAAGGCCCGCTGTAATGACTTCGCCAAGCATTTCAAGGAGAAAATCGCTCAGATTCATCACGAGCTGGACTCTACTAGTGAATCAGAACCTTCTGGGGAGGTGCCAATGTTGCCGTCCGGTCCAAAATTGATGGATGAGTTTCAGTTGTTGAGGCCTGATGATGTGGACAAGGTGCTTGGACAAGTACATCCTACCACCTCCTTTCTAGACCCTTGCCCATCTTGGCTACTTATGAAAGCCAAGGACGGGATAGGGACCTGGATCCTGGAGGTTGTCAACGCCTCTCTAAGGGACGACCGGGTACCTGCCCCTTTAAAGGAGGCGGTAGTTCAGCCAGTCCTAAAGAAGGCATCCCTGGATCCAGAGATGGCTGCCAATTATAGACCGGTGGCCAACATCCCTTTCTTGGGAAAGGTGTTAGAGCAGGTGGTAGCGGGACAACTCTAAGCACTCTTGGATGAAATTGATTATCTGGACCCATTTCAGTCCTGCTTCAAACCCAGATATGGTACTGAATCTGCCTTGGTCGCCCTGTACGATGACCTGTGCAGGGAGAAAGACAGGGGGAGTGCGTCCCTGTTGGTTCTCCTGGACCTCTCAGCAGCTTTCGATACCATCAACCATGGTATCCTTCTGGATAGGCTAGCGGAATTGGGAGTTGGAGGTAGTACTTTGCAGTGGTTCCACTCCTATCTCAATGGCCGATTCCAGAAGGTGGTGCTGGGGGACTATGGCTCTGCGCCATGGCAGTTAGGCCATGGGGTTCCGCAGGGGTCCATTTTGTCCCCCTTGCTATTCAACATCTACATGAAACCGCTGGGAGAGGTCATTAGGAGATGTGGGCTGCGGAATCATCAGTACGCTAATGATACCCAGCTCTACCTCTCGTTTTCAAGTAATCCAGGTGAGTCAGTGTCTGTACTGAACCGGTGCCTGGCCGAGGTAATGGGCTGAATGAGGGCCAATAAACTGAAACTCAATCCAGACAAGACGGAGGTCCAGTTGGTAGGTGGCTCGTGCTTTGGGGTGGGGGACCTGGACCTTGTCCTGAATGGGGTTGCACTCTCCCTGAGGGACAGGGTTCACAGCTTGGGAGTGCTCCTTGACCCAGAGCTGTCATTAGAAGCTCAGGTGACGGCGGTGGTGAGGAGCGCTTTCCTTCAGCTTCGGCTGATCCATCAGCTGCATCCCTACCTGGAGAACGATTGCCTGGCAACAATGACACATGCACTGGTAACTTCCCGATTAGACTTCTGTAACGCGCTCTATGTGGGGCTGCCCTTGAAGATGGTCCAGATACTTCAGATGGTGCAAAATAGAGCTGCCAGGTTGCTGACAGGGACTGGGCATTGTTCTCATATAACCCCAGTCCTCCATCAGCTTCACTGGCTTCCCATCGAAGTCTGGGCCCAATTCAAGGTGCTGGTTATCACCTATAAAGCCCTTAATGGCTTGGAACCTGGTTATCTAAAGGAGCGCCGGTGTCCATATCTGCCCTCCTGCCCCTTGAGATCGGCAGCAGAGGCCCTTCTCCGGGAACCCTCCGTGAGAGATATTAGGAGGGTGAGTACCCGGAGGAGGACCTTCTCTGTGGTGGCGCCCCGTCTATGGAATGCGCTTCCCAGAGAGGTCCACCTGGTGCCGTTATTATTTGTTTTTCGGCACCAGGCCAAGACCTTTTTATTTAAAAGTTATTTTAATTGTTAATTGATTATTTATTGGATTTTATATTGGGTTTTATACTGTGCCGAAGTGTCTCCAAAATTTTTAAGGTTAATTGTGTGAATGATTCTGTTTTGTAAGCCGCCCCAAGGCTTTTTGCAAATGGGATGGCATAGAAATGTTTTAAATAAATATATATATATATTCCAGGGGTCATGTAAACTAAGCCATAAAGCAAAAGGCTGATGCTCTGGGTGCAATCTTGTCTGTAACAATGTGAGAAATTCAAAAGATTGCAGTTACAGTTTAGGCAGCGTAGGAGCACTCCAAAATTTATTGTAAGCTAGTTTCAACTGTTCTATTTTATTATACTTTTATATGGAAAATAATAAATTAATATACAATAAAATGCACCTATAATGAATTCAGTGCAATGCCTACATTCAGGTGAATATGCATACAACTATCTTGGCTGTACACAACTCACACCACAAAAATGCCACAGCTAAGCTTCTGATCTTGAAAATCTAGCGTAGGTCAGCTAAGTACAGCCTAGATTACTTTAAAGATATTATTATTGCCAGGTTTTATCTATTTTGTGCATTTAATCTGTACAGGAATGAGGAAAGAAACTATAGACTTTGAATTGTATCAAATCAGTTTGTAGAAATAACAGACTGCTTTTTTTTTTATGAAACACTTTAAGAAATGTATTATTACATGTTATTTCAGCAGCAGAAGATGCGTAATAAACATGGTGGGGAGGAGATCATCATTTACAGTACCAAGCTATATTGCTCCATACCCTTCATGAGTGCCACTGGTACATGATTACATCATTGCAGCTCTCAAGGAAGGGAC